GGGTAGGATGCTTCCATTGCGATGCCACATTTTCCAGATGACAAGCCTATATTACGAGCTAGTCTGATGTATCCATCCTCTCCCCACTCTGTGCCCCAAGAGTTCCTAACAATCCAGTAGTCATTGCCATTCTCGGAGCCATAGCCCACCGCAGTGACACCATGGTCAAGATCAAGACCACATGATCCAGAGAAAATTCCCTAAATGCACAAGAATGAGATTAAATGAAGGAAATTCTAGATAAAAGCAGAAAATAAGTACATCATGTAAATCAGTAGAAAATGAGTGGGTCAAAAGAGAACAAAGTAGACTGTTCATAAAGGGATGAATTTGAAGTAAGAAAAAAGATGTGAGAAATCAAATAACCAAAAGAGAAAATTTAAGGGTTGATTGACTCCGTGTTTATTAAACTCAGACCTATCAACATTGCAATGTCATAGAAAAACCCAAATAATTAGTAAGAGTCAGTATTTAACTAAATACCAAAAAATATTTAAAGATACACCCTAATCTAAACTTCAATTGTTAGAAGTAATTAGAAACCATAGTTATTCAAATAGAAATCCAACAGAATCATGAAAACCTCAGTGAATATATCTAGATCAATGAGCATTGCAGATAATTAATCGAACTTATAAACCCTATTTACACCTACATTGATTTGAAGAAGGCAATTAAAACTATCCATTACTTCTCCTTAAAACTCTCAACCTTAATTTTGTGAATATTATAACGAAATGCTAGAATCTGAAAAGATAATTAAGCTTATAGTTTTTGCATACTTTAGAAAGAGACTGATTGTATCAGTGTAAAAAATCATCATCAGTATTGTCCTTATCAATTGTGGGTCCAACTTCAAAATTTCTCATTCTCCATTCATGCCAATCAATTGAAATTTGCACAAAACTTCTGCAAACTGATAAAAATGTTACATTTCTATAACCCTTTTCTCTTCCAGATCATAGGAAATTATTTTTATTCAACCATTATATTGATGCATTTTTCTAGCTCTCACAGCATGCATCTAAACTGACTACCCCTATCACAATCCATTTAACTTAATAATTTTTCCATCTTTCCTAGAATTTTCACATATTCATATTAAGATTCTCATTTCCATCACATTAAATTTGACTATCAAAAAATTTTTTTGCCAAGAGCATTTATCCTACTTGTGAAAAAATAAACCTGCAATCAAATAAACGAAACTACCTATTGAATCACAGTTTAATGAATAAAAAAATAAAAGTAAAACACCAACATGAAGAGCAATTGTCGTTGGAGAACAAAATCCTTCATGGAGGCAGCTAAGCAAAATGATTCTGAAAACAAAAGCCATCCCTACTCCCATAGCACCTGATTCAAGAGTAACTAGATTTCCAAAATGTAATATCATAGCAATAAACCTATTACTCATCAATGTTATCCAGACCATGGTTTAAAATTGCGCAATATGAGGCTCGCCTTGAGGCCCGCCTTTGTGGCATTCCAGTAAAAAATGCCTCGATGCTTACGCGTCGAGTTTTGTTTATGAGGCTTACGCCTCAATTTGGTTGAGGCCCGCCTCGCCTCACTGGCATGAGGCTTACGCCTCACGCTATATATATTAAAACTTACATAAATCTTGAAGTAACTACCCGACATTGGACTCTATAGGAGAGGAGGAAGAGGAGAGAGCAGTTCACCATAATGATGATTCAAATGAAGAACCCCTTAGTGATGACAGTGCTTATGACTTATGAGTTCTTATGTGATATGTCATTACTATTTATTTTTGGAAATTGGAATTATATGTTAATGAAAAGAATACTGGGATTTGGGAAATATAGAATTTTGAGTTGAACTATATTTCATGTTGTCTTATTATTGAGATATTTTGATTTCACTTCATATCTTATGTTTTTTTATGTTTTATATTATTCACTCATTAATATATAAAAAAATTATCATTTTATGTTTACGCAATCTTTTGATTTTGAGGCTTACGCCTCAAAACGCCTTGAGGCTTACGCCTCGCCTCACGAATGAAAAACGCCTCAATACCCGAATACGCAATTTTAAACATTGATCGAGACAATTTGACTGAAGTAGGATTTCGCAGCAAGAAAGTCAATGGTTAGAACCGCAATCTAATAAAAGACATCTAGCCTGTCTATGTAAGACCTACTTACAATAACAACACCTTAGCATTCAAGCCTAGTTGCAGGGAGGGCCATGGCTGCGACCCAGTGAAGTAAAAGCTCATGTTTTTAAATATCATGACTATCTGTTATCCATCAAGCACCAATTAAATTCAGATATTGATAGGGTCTTACCGATTCATAGAGCTGGAAAGCTCTTCCGCTGCCCTCAATGGCTACGCTAACCGGCTGGTTAGCAACTGCTATCTTTAAGGCATTCTCGTCATTTTCAGGCACATCTTTGTACCCATCTATGCTGACCACACGAGCATTTTTCTGCAAACAACATACGTTTCATAAACTGCACCAAACAGTTAAATACCAAAATTCACCCATACCCTGAAAGAATCGCATCTGCCGTCCCTGCTCTTGTAAGGGTAATCTTCCTCGGTGTCGATTCCACCGTTATTGATGATGAACTCGAAGGCATAATCCATGAGCCCACCGTTGCATCCCTCGTTGACCGCCGTATCGCAGTCAACCAGCTCCTGCTCCGAGAGCGAGATCAGGTCTCCGGTCACGATCTGATTGATCCCTTCCACCGCAGACACAGTAGAGAAAGCCCAGCAGCTCCCTGCAAATGAATTTAATAACAATCAAACTAAAAAACATACAACTTAAAACAAAAATTAAATAAACCAGCCTTTGTGTACGAATCCTTCAGATCTAAGAAAATCCGTGGAGAG